CCCTCCTGTGCCTTTCCTCTCACTTTGACTTTCTGCCCACTAGCCAAGTTCCGATCTTTTCTGTGGTCATCTGCAATTGGTTATTACCTTAAGATGTAATTATCTTTTTCTTTAAAAAATGACAAGATTATGGCTAATTATTTTCATTTCGTTGTCACTTTTAAGCTGTTTTTGTTACTTTGTGCTGAATGTGCAACGATTTTATGCCCAGTAATGATAACATAGTCACAGTCTGTTTGGGGCTTTAATACTTTAGAAAAGTAGCAAAAATAAAATATGTCCATTGGATTGAGTGTCATTACTGCAGTACCATAATATGAGGGGGAATTTCATAAAAACTAAGATGTCCCAGTGAAATAAAACACCTTCAAAAGCGTGCTGTGGGTTTCTCTGACACGTCGTCTGGTATGCTAAAAATTTACAACAAAAAGAAACTGAGGAAAGAGTAGACAAATGATGAGGGATCACGCTTTGTCCGTTTTCTGGAATAGATATAAAAGATTTAAAAGTGACTTTGCACAGGTAGCTTAGGATGCATCTTAAACCTCAAACAGATACATACAGACCATTAAAACATGTCAAAACAATGTTGATAACGATGCAAGTTTTGTTACCAATCTTGACAACACGAACTAATCTAAAGACGTTGAAGCAGGTCTTATGTCACTTTATCTTATTCATGTTGTCTTTAAGCACTTTTTAAAAATGATTTTTTTTTTGCCCCTTCCCCTCACCCTCACCATACCGACGCAATTTAGATCAATTAGGAGGCAGGCAATCGCTCCTGTTTGCCAGGACCAACTTAGGGGAATAAGGGTACAAAATTGCAACAGAAACAGCGAGATATTCGATTTTTAAAAAGTCGTCACACTCGGGAATGGAACTAAGGTTTGCTGCGTGTTATGGCGAAGTGCCTATACCGCTTCAGCACAAACGTTAATCCTATGATTTTTTTCCATTCCTTATTCAATAGACTAGATCTATAATAGAATAGGCAACATCCAGGGATTGGCATTTTTCAGCTGAGTTAGATGGTGAAAAGAAACAAAGATAGCCTCTAAACTGTTTTCTTCTGGCACAAGAAATAACAATTGAATCAAACTATCCTATCCCTCAAAGTGTTCAATGTCCGTTCAGCCTTGGATGGGTTTGAACGCACAGCTTACCAAATCCAGATTACTGGGTGAGTTTGCACATGGTCGTTTAGGTCTACCTTATGGCATAAACATTTAAAAATTACTAATCGAATATTGACACATTTTTTGTTAAAAAATTCAAGACACAATAGGCTTTTAACAAATCAAATGCAAAATTTCAACTCACATTTCAATTAGATCTAATAGCAAAAGTAAAGTTTATAATCTGACATGAGATAGCAATAAACTGAATCTGCTGTAAATCAAGGGGGAAGCAGAGTGAAACAACTATTCTATGCGGGAAAACAACAAAATAAAAAGGCTTATGTAACTTCTTGTCTTCATCCAACTTCCAAGAGTATATCGACATAAATTTTGGTGCAAACCGTGCAAAGTCACAGAAGTGTGCAAATTCATCCCGTTTTACGGTACACAATTTGTGACTTGTCCGAACTCGACATGCATCTTAACTGAGTGATCACATGACATGTCTACAGTAAATCGTCAACGATGAGATGATAGTCAGAACCAGGACTTATTTATGAAGAACATGCATAATATATAATATCATAGCTTCTTTAGCCAGTCCAGCCACGTCACGTTTTCATTCCAGTGTCATACTTTCAAGGAGGAGAGTTCTCCTTGCGCCTTGTTACGAAGGGTAAAAAGCAGGCGAAAAGTAGGGAAGGGTAGTAGGGGAAGGGGATCGTTACCTGTTGTGCTGCAACTCATTGTTTTGTTTTACTGTCTCTCTGGTCGTTCTGTAGGTCTCATTACACGTTTTCTAGACTGGACGTCTACTTTTGCTGCCAGGTGCTTCTCTTTCAAACGATAAACTAGCAAGATTTATGGAAATCAAAGGAGTGCAGGCATCGCTCTACACTGAAACCTATTAATATCTGGTTATTCCTTGTCGAACGACATTGTGTTGCCACGATAGACTATCCTTATGACCTCATTAATTCATGGACGACGCGCATTCTCGTCATTCAACAACGTTGGGGACACGCTGTTTTAGGGTTTCTTGAAAAAGAAGTAATAAATCCGTTATGCATTCAACTTTTCAAATCTTTTCTTTAGCTGGAACTGAACAGAGGGACACCTTGAATACAATTTAAAATGCAAATTCGTACTTTTGGTTTATGTGTGATGGATGCACATGCGCCACAACTTTGACTTTAGTCTGCTACTGATCGGAGTGAAAGTCGCATCGTTTTATGCTTACTCATAATGAAATTAGACCGAAAGAGGCAACATTTTACAATGAGTGAATTGAGTGTGGTTACTAGGTCAGCAGGTATAATGTTCGCCTTCATTTTGAAAGTTAATCGTGTGTGGTTGGCGGGTCCTTTGGTGCAGTTTGGTCCTTTTTTCCTTATCATCTGCCGTCCTCATCTTTTTTTCTTTTTTAAAAGTTTGTTTCTCTTTAGTAACACCCTTAATCTCCGTCACTTACATGATCTTATTGTGTTGTGAGTGCAATAAAACTCTACTAAAACTAAAGATTCTTAATCTTAGATAAAACGCAACATCTAGGCTATCTAGATCTCACGAGCTCAGTTTACAGGTGCTTGTGTCTTCCAAACGGGGACAGGTGAAGGACAGCCCTGACGGATGTCAAAAGTAACGAAAACATATGATCTGTAAGTTTACATAAACGAATGGATTGGTCTAGTTCAGTCAGACAGGAATAACATCTTTGGGCTTAAAACGTTTCGGTCCTGCTGGGTTTTTTTTTCTTCTCTGGTAGTTTTCCTTACGGCAAAGGGTGTCTATTAGCTGCTTTCAGGGGAATGGGTAATTCTTGTGTGTGTGTGTGTGTGTGTGTGTGTGTGTGTGTGTGTGTGTGTGTGTG